CTGAGGATAAGAATATTTCCAAACTGCTTCGAGTGTAGAATTTTAATGTTCTGATAAGGAGAATCTTCATCATATACTACTTCATCTATGTCGTACTCAACCAGGCGTCCATCAGCAGTAGGCCAATATCTGTCAATGGCCCCTCCTCGAACTATGGGAGGTAATCTGGAAAAAAAGGGAAACAGAAATGAGCCTTTCTTCAATGCAGCCTTAAAAGGGGATAAGGGATGAAGAGTGCACAACAGAAAGCCACATGCCACAGGTGGATACTTTAAAAGAACAAAAACAAATCCAGAGATTGGGCATTTATTTTTATACATCCTCAAACACAAAGAAACTGAGAACACATTGCACATACAACACAAGATCAACGTATCAACAACTATTACACATGAGTTTAAAGTTTTTCACAAACTTTCTGACATGCTTTACATTTTTCCTAATAAACAGCTGAAGGAGGGCTGGGGATATGGCTCAAGCGGTAGCGCGCTCGCCTGGCATGCGTGCGACCCGGGTTTGATCCTCAGCACCACATACAAAGATGTTGTGTCCGCCGAAAACCAAAAATAAATATTAAAAAACTAAATTCTCTCTCTCTCTCTCTCTCTCTCTCTCTCTCTCTCTCTCTCTCTCTCTCTCTCTCTCTCTCTCTCTTTCTCTCTCTCTCAAAAAAAAATAAAAAATAAAAAAATAAATAGCTGAAGGAGAAAATGGTCACTGCAGGTATCACACTTCATCCCCATATACTTTTTTTTAATATTATTTTAGTTGGTAATGGACCTTTATTTTATTTATTTATTTTTATGTAGTGCTGATAATCTAACCCAGTGCCTTACATGCTAGGCAAGCACGCTACCGCTGAGCTACAACCCCAGCCCCTCCCCATATACTTTTGCTTAAGACCTTTTACATAGCCATATGGCTGTTACCAGTGTCAACCATTATCTAGTACAGAGTTCACCTTCAAGATTCCTTAAATGTCCCAATTATGTCCTTTATTGCAGTTCTGCTTTTGAATAAAGGTTTACACACTGCATTTTTCTATTATTCTTTTATTTTCTTAACCTTTATTTTACTTAGAATATTCTTTTTCTATTCGGTATGTTTTATGATTTCTCTACAAAGTTCAGATCAGGTATTCTAAAGAAAAATCCCTTCTATGAGTTTGCCTGGTCTTTTCATGATCAGTCAGGTTGACATATTACACAGGCACCTCATAAGGAACACAAGAGGTATTCCTGTCCTACCACTGGTGATGCAAAGTGGGTGGGCATTTGGTTACAGTAATGCTTGCTGGATCTCTCATTTGCAAAGGTCCCTTTCACCCACAGAAATTATTAAGCAGGCTGTGGTGGGGCCTCTGAAGCTGGGTGACTGTCCTGATCTGCCAATATATTTTTACCAGTGGCTATGTTATCTAGAAGATTCTTGCCTGAACTAATTATTATTGGAGTAGCTACAAAATGATGAGTTTCTTGGTCCATGCTTTTATAAATACTCAGTGGTTTAGACAGGATGAATATACTAGAAAATACCAGTAGAGGGCACTAAATGACAGGAGAAAAGAGACCTGGAAAGGGGGCTTGGCAAATCTAACTCAAACACAAAGAAAGTGAGAACACATTGCACATACAACACAAGAGCATGCAAGTTGTGTTCTCAAACATAGTAGTGTTCAATAGTAAAATGCCATGAAGTATAGCCACAGACACCCACAACACTAGAACATAACTACCTCTGCCTTATTGCTCAGTCTCTTCCCACTCCCCAATCATTGGCTTCCAAGAGTAACAGTTTGAGCCTGTTACAAGTTAACAAGGTTTTCTCTGAGAAAATACTAACATCATAAAGAGCACTAAGGCTGACAAAGAAAATTTCCTTAAGCTCTCATTTAATCCTAAAAACTCCAGATTTAACCACTTCATCTTTCCAGTGAACAAATCCAGCTTTCAAAATGTTAGGCAGACCAGAGAGGTATTTCTTTAAAAGAACAAAAACAAATCCAGATTTGGGGCATTTACCTTTATACATCCACAACCACATATCAACAACTATTACACATACGAGTTTAGTTTTTCACAAACTTTCTGACATGCTTTACATTTTTCCTAATAAAAAGCTGAAGGAGAAAATGGTCACTGCAGGTATCACACTTCATCCCCATATACTTTAAAAAAAAAAAAAAAGTAAAAAGTGAAACCCCAATCAGGACAGGCCCCCAAGACCAAGCAAAGAGGAGTTGGAGGAAGCTTCTTCTACCAGATAGATAATAGTGTATATTGTGAGGTGGCACTGAATGAAGATAAAAAAAGTCACAGCTTTCAGGGGAAGAATCCTGCTCCCTGGTTGACAGCCAGCCAGCTCTAGGCAATATTGAACTAGGCACAAATCCACTGAAAATAAACAGTGCCTAGCCTCATTTATGTCAATAGTGCCTTGGGTTAAGATGAAGAGCTCTCTTCTCCATTGCAACACAATGGTTTTTTAAAGCCAGGCAAAAAAGCAACAAGGATCTCAAACCGGATGTGGAAGCCATTACCCTGAGAGTACTCAACCCAGCATAGAACACATCATCCTGTAATGGGCTACCAGAAGATGCTGTGGAGCTCTAGAAAACTCATTTCAACCTTCACTGCTGAAAATAAAAAAATCGACTGCAGAACATCCGGTGGAATATGTCCTGGGCCTCAGGTGTGCTGTGTAAATTGCAAGATTTTAAAAATGAAATGGCTGGGAATGAAGCTCAGTTACAGAAGATTTGCTCAGCATGTGGAAAGCCCTGGGTTCAATCCCCAGCACTGGGGAGAAACAAGAAACATGTAAGCTTGTTTTCTTGCTCCTTTTCATTTGAAAATATAGAAATAAATGTTCAGATAAATCCTATGGGGCTCCTTAGTAAAAAAAAAAAAAAATCAGATTTAATTCATTAGCCAAAGGGGAATAGTAACAATTTCAAATAATGTTACGGAGATTTCTGTTCATGATTTCATCTGTAACAATGTCATTCCCCAGACAAAAAAGTAAAACAATCCTTGTCCTTTTGGGCCATTAACAAAGGGTCTACAACAAGGTATTCCCAAGTTATTGACCCTTATTTTATAAAAAGACCCTTATTTCTTTTGACCCTTATTTTATAAAAAGAAGATTTAAAAACTGTGACAAGCAAAAACAGGATCTGCAATTTGATTTGAAGATCTAAAGCTTGGCTCCAGTTCCACATAGAAAATTCCTATACCAAAAAAACAAAAGAACCAGATTTCTCATGAATGCTGAAGCACAGAAATGTATTCTATTTGCTCACTCCTAGAAGTGATAAAGATCAGGGTGTATTTTGATGTGGACCAACTCATTTTCCCACATAATGAAAACAGATCCAATTCAATGGATGCAGATAAACAAAACTGTTCAAGAAGGAAAAGATGAAGTGTCCAGAAAGTGGTGTGGGTGTGGATATGATTTTAAGAATGGGGAAGGGACTTCTTTTGACTGCTTCTGGATAGGCACTGTCCATTTTCAGTGGGTTTGTGCCTACTTCAGTACTGCCTATAGCTAGCTGGCTGTCAACCAGGGAGCAGGATTCTTCACCTGAAATGGGGAAGGGACTCCTTTTGGCTGCTTTTCGGACTCCAGTGCTCTGGCCTCCATCCAGATCATATCCACTGCTCTTATATTCCCTGGCTCAGTTGGCAAAGGCTGTGCCCATAAGCTGTACTCAGATGTGTAATGTGTTCCCAGGCCCTCCCCTAGCACAACACCCACACTTTCAAATACTGAAGCCAGATAGAGAAATCTAAATAGCTCACTGCAGATAAGGCCCCTGTGTCTAGAAGAGAGGTACTGGGTGGGATAGGGGGCAGGAATCACCATTTCAGCCATTATCATGGGGACTATCAGAGAGTTCCTATCCAGAAGTGGCATGTGCAAAGGCTTGTAGGTACTACTAATTTGGCAGCATTGGGGAAACCCAGGATTGACTGTCTGCAGGAACAGAGGTAAAGTGAAGGCTCTGCTGTAATGGAAATCTGAGATGGTGCCGTGAGGGACGATTAGTTGTAGGATTATTCTGCCCTGTGTTAATAAAGTTGGGAGGGGAAAAGGGACAGGGAATAAAAACAGGAATACTGAGGGGGAAGCCACTGGTTTGATCTTATGGGGAAAAAGCGCATAATGATGCAAAATTTAGATGAGAAATACATTAAAAATATGACAACCTCCCTTTATTCACAGAAATGAATGCCTAGTAGAAAGAAGAAAAAGATGAGGAAGGCCATCTGCAGAAGACCCCAAATAGCACTGATGAAAACCAGGACCCTTAAGGAGGAAGAGATCAAGCTGGCCCTGGGTTTCTCCAACCTGAAGGATGATCCAGTGGACATTCTGGTCTATGGCTCATGCACTCAGAGGCCTGTGATCCCACCAGGCATGAATTCTACTGTCTCTCCTCTGTCTTCTCTGAGGTATTCCTGGATATAGCAATGAGAAGCCCCCTAGTGGCAAAGGCAGGCATTATAATATGGATGTTGCAATGCCTGAACCTGCCTGGGACATACTATTGGACCATAGCCACCATTGAGCCACAGGCTATAATCACACTTCCCTGAATGAAAGGAAAATAAGAAAAAGTCACTTTGTCTCATCAGGATCTCGGGTGGGGATTTGGCCTCATTCTGGACCACAAACACCCAGAATCAGAAATGGAGGGGGTTGATTTTCAGAAACCTATTAATTATTATATTCATAAGTAACCTGCCTTCAGATTATTTGTTCTTGACCCTGGGTGAACTCTAAGTGGAGGCTAGACAGAGGGGTGGCAGCAGAGAGGATATGTGATTAGATATCAGACAAATCTGAAAAATAGAAGTGACAGGATTTCCTGCTGCATTAGCTAGAACTGTGAAGAAAAGTAGGGGATAAAGGTTCATCCCATGATTTTTGCCTGAAAGTCGTGTGTGTGTGTGTGTGTGTGTGTGTGTGTGTGTGTGTGTGTGTGGGTGGTGTGCTAGGATTGAACCCAGGGCTTTGTGCATGCTAGGCAAGCACTCTACCAACTGAGCTATATCCCTAGCCCCTTAAAAGTCTGAAAGAATGGGGTTGGGGAAGTCAGCACAAGAAACAGGTTTCAAAGAGAAGATCATGGGCTGGATTTTGGATGTGCCCATTCGAAGATGTCATAAGGTAAAGACATGGGTTGGTGGACCCAAGTTCTAGAGTTCTAGATAAGGAAGGTAGCTAGTATGGAGCTTTCATGGTGTTAGAAGATATGGGCAAGACGAGGACTTGGTTTATGGATCAGATTGAAGAGGAAGAATCTTAATTTATTATTTCAGAAGGGCTCTGTGCTAAGGAAGACAAGTCTGAGACTCAGAAGGCAGACTATGGGGAACTCATCCATAATACTCCCTCCAGACAGGTACAGATCAGCAGTAACAAGATTTTTTGGTCTGTGTATGTGAAAAGAAGCCTGAATGGAGTAGTAAGGAGATGACCTGGAATGGAGGTATAAGGTGTTGTAGACACTCTACACTGTAGGCTCAGAAGACCCCCAGGGCCACTCCCTAAGAAAGAAGAGAAAGTTCAGCTGGGCTAGTGGGATATCTGGTCCAGACCTAGGCATTGCTTTCTCATATCCTCTATCCCTCAGAATATTATATAACAAGCAGGCCTGATCGCTGAAGAGACCAGTAACTGACTTGTCTGCTCAGTATCTTCCTATAACTCATTGACTTATGAATGTATAAAACTCTTTGATCTAAACACTTGTTAACCTGATCTGGGGATGTAGATCAGTTGATCACATGCCTAGCAGGCATGAGGCGCTGGGTTACATCCCTAGCACCATCAAAAAAAGAAAAAGAATGGAGAAGGGGACAAGACATAACCAAGGGCCCCTAAACTGAACTTGGGTGGGGTAACAAAAAGACTGAGTATTCAAATGTTTTAAAAAGTGGCCAAGTTTCACACCCAGTCTGTTCTTTTCACTTAGTTTCCTTTTTCCCTTTCTACCTACTGGAAGTTAAATAATTACCTAGTTATCTTGCATCTGCCCTGGAGCTTTCCTATGGGCTGATCAAACCAAAAAGGGTGAATTATTATGTACTTAAACATCCTAGCCCTTGCCAATAAGGATTCCCTCTTCTGGAAACTGCTATGAACTAGCAAAACCAGTATTCTGATTGCTCCCATCAATGATGGAGTGACCTTAACAAAATCCCTCCTTGTCTGTCTCCACATCTATGAAATTAACTTTATGAGCAAAGGCACAGGTCTTCCATGACTTGTGGCCTGAGGAGGAACCACCAAGGGAAGGCAAGAACAAATTGCTGAGAAACAGATGCTGAGTATTCAAAGCACTTAATTCAGGTGACCCACCAGACCCTATCCCTTCCAACAAATGTCAAAATTGCTATGTCTGTCAAAAAGCTTTTTAAAATCAGGCACCACTGGCAGACACTTCAGAGATAAGCAACAGAATTTTCTGTAATGATGAAAATGTTCTGTATCTGTGCTGTCCAGTGTGGTAGCCACTTGTTATTGACATGATGCTAACACAACTGAGGAACTGAACTGTTTATTTAACTTTAAATCACCACATGCAGCGGTAGGGGTATGGTTCAATGGTACAACACTTGCCTGGCATACTAGAGGCCCTGAGTTTGATCCCCAGCATGGAAAAAAAAATCTGTTAGCTAACTGACTAGACAGGAAAAGCTTCAGGTGTTTTCATCACTATTTGACAACAGCCTACCTGTGGTAGCTGATGATGGATGGCCTCAATTCTTAGTATCTTGGAAAGTTTCCTAACTTGAAAGCTTCCAGTATATTTTTTTTATCACTCTATCCTATCAGAAATGTCTTAAAACTGCTTAATTCTACTCTGGACTACAGAATCCTGAGCAGAGACACACCCTTTTCTCTTTTGGAGGTTCTAGCTCCCCCTTTGACTTAGGTGACAGCTCTACCTGAGTTTCTGCTTTATACAGTTCCTAGATTTTAGTTTCACTCTATGTACCAAAACTACCCACCATTACTGTGTGTTAAATATACATGTTGTCCTACTTTAGTGTGGGGGCCCAGAAGCTTAATTCATAGTGCTGCCAAAAGCCAGCATTAACTTTGGTCTCTTCCACATCTTAAGCAGACACTGTTGAGAACAATAATGCCATTTTGATTTAAGCAAATATGAAAGAACACTGAAGAGTGGACTTACCGCTTCACTCGCCCAGTACTGTCCTGACTCAATTCTTTCATTCTTTCTTCTACTTTGTTCAAAAGCTACAATTAAAAGCAAATAAATCAATGGGTATATAGAATAAGCTGTAGATAACAACTAAATGACAGAGAAAAGGATTGAGACCAGGTTGACAGAAATATGTCATACTGGAATATACACCTGCCCCCTCTAGCTATGGCCCAATACCATACTTCCACTCCAACTAACTCATGGCACTGACTTTAACTTAGTTAACAACAAAATAACTGGGAAGGAGAAGACTAAAGGATATTATAGGTATAAAATCCTGGTTAAAAGATCTATTATTTCAGGCTGGGGATATAGCTCATTTGGTAGAGTGCTTACCTAGAATATACAACAAGGCCCCAGCACCACACACACAAAAAAATTCTATAATTTCTCCAGTGGAAAGTAAAATCATTACTCATACTCAGTGCTGAGGTCCAGCCCCAGCGGGGGGAGAGGTAAGGGTCCAGGGTGGTCCCGAAGGACGAGTAACATTGGCGAAAGAAGAAGAGTTGGGAGGACAGGTTGCAAGTTACGAGCAACCTCCAGAAGACATCTCTTTGCCCCTGGAGGGACCGTTATTTTTTACAGGTGTTTTTTCAGGTAGTTAATGGATAGCTTCAAAGCAAGCCCGAAACTTTTTTGATTTACATAATTTATAAGAATTACAATCTTTTCTGACACACATTGATTACCAAAATTATTGAGTACATTGTTCAAATATTTTTCTGTAACCTTAGACAATCATGATTAAGCTTTATGTTTTCACCTCAATCACTAGGTGCTAGGCAACACAACAAGTCTACATGACTCCTGACCTATTATTCACTTTAAAGCATACCTATAATTATTTCATTAACCTTTAACTTTAAAGCATACTTATGATTATTGGTAAGCTTTCTTACTTCTAAACTAAAATCCCAGTAAAACACACTTAAAGTAGAAAAGTCTACTACTCTGAAGTGCCTCTAAAATATATCTATGTTAATTTTACATTATTCTATTTTTAATTTCCAAAGTAATTTTATTTTTTTCATATGAGCTATTCAACTGCCTTCTTAAAGAACTTTCTTGATCCTTGGTCAAAGCACACCAATTCTTATGTCTTTGTAATCTTCAACTAAAGGGCAGGCTTTACACCTCAACCCATTTGTCATTTATATTAACTATGTGTTTTCCATTTTCATCATTTTCATCATCAATTTCTGCATAAAGCAAAGGAGGGTCTATTGGTTGGGGAATGTATTTTTATTAGCCTCTTGTCCTCAAGGGGATACCATAAGCTACATACGGTGGTCCTTATACTATTGGCACAGCAATTGTTTTTCTGTAGCTAGGCTGTTGTACAGGCTGTGGCTTTAGGATGGGGTTGGGTGGGGGGCTAGTGTAAATTATTAACCATGGGATAAATATTTCTTGTTGCTTAGGCTTGAGGAATAACACCATCCTGTGAGACATTGAAACACTCCATGGCATGTCTCCATTGTATCCTTGGTCTCATTCTGGGAATTTTCCTGCAATCTCAGGCAATATATACTCTTATTATTGATTTATGTATGCCCTGTTATCCATATCATGAGTATCATAAACAAAACACTTAACATTCCTAATGGTTCAAGTTTCCAGATGGTGCAGCCTTGCCACAGCATCCCCCACACTGTGACCCTGTCAGACAGTGGGTACAGGAATTCCTTCACCAACTCAGGAAGTGAAACCAACTAAGAAACAACTATTTTCTCTACCAAAACCACTTATCTGTGGGGAGGGGAATTTAATTAAATTAAGCTAAGTGGATTTTATGATCCTTAAATAAATTTTAGAAAAAAATTTTAAGATAAATAAAAGTAAAAAACCAACACTGTCAATTTCTTCTTTGCCCTGTGCATCACTGTCGTAACTCTGAAGGTCCAGCAACACCAATCCATGTGGATAAATTCTCAAATTGGCAAAGCTATAAAAGAAAGTTAGAAATGTTAGGAATCATTTCATGACAAACCAAAGGAAAAAAGAGGCCATCCCAACTAGAAAAAAAGACCACTGCTCTTTTTTTTTCTCCCTGAATTATACAGTTAACCCTGTGGTTTTCTTTTTCAGGGCCTCTCCTTGAAAAGTAAGCTATCAATCACTTATAGAAAATTTAGAGGATGTCACCAAATACTAAGGCTTTCCAAACTGGTTCTTGGGCCCAAAAAGTGATTCAGTAGTTCCCCAGGTGATTCCATAGAGTACAGCTGTACAGTAAGGAAGGAAAGGGAAGGGCAAATGGGGTTCTCCCAGTAAACCCTTAGAGTTCCTTGTCCTGACTACAGGCTTAGGATGATTTATATTTTTAAAGAGTTGTTTAAGCTGGGTGTGGTGGCACACACCTATGATTGCCCCTGACTTGGGAGGCTAAGAAAAAAGGATTCCAAGTTCAAGGGCAGACTCAGCAACTATGTGAGGCACAGTCTCAAGAGAAAATGTAAAAAAGGCTGGGAATGCAGCTCACTGGTAGAGCACTCCTGGGTTCAATCTCCAGTACAAAAGATAAAAAAAAAATGGTTGTTTAAGAAAGAATATATGAAAATATATGAAAGCAACCTTATGCAATTCAGGGATAATAAAGTTCTCTTATACCTGATTTAGTGGAGCTGATCAGTCCTTTATTAATGAAATAAATTTGAGTATAACACATGCAGTAAGATGTGTCTGATGAAACTTTTGATTATATGCATATATTTGTATGAAATATACACACATGTGCATTTCCAGGTTATGAAATAAATTGCTTCTTACTATAAGTTGTGGTTTAAGAAATGTTTAAAAAAATGCTAAATTAAAAGAAATTCTGTTCAGAGAATACAGGCAATGGGCTTGGATTAAAAAATAAATAAAACTAATTCATTTTCACCTTTAGCCCTTAAAATGGCCCCAAAATCAAGTTCAGGCCCAGACACCACAAGCTCATCTATACCTACATGAGTATAGATGAGCTGATCATCTTTCCTTTCCAGCAGCTGCAACAGCACTAAGGAGCAGAGGAGTGCGGGTTGAATCAAAGATAGAGAAATATGTCCCTTAACCACATAGGTGGTTCCAGCATGAATACAGAGAATGCTGGAAGGTAGGATCCAGTACCAAAGCCAAAGTTGGGTACTCCTAAAAATGAAAATAGCTCTTGTCATTTAAAAACTTCCTTCTGGGAAGGACTCTAAGTCTTCTGCACAACTGGAATTTGTGCCTATAGTCGAAGATTTTAAAACCACGGCAGGAGGACTTGGCTACAAAGGTCTATAGGAGACGGTAGGAGAGAAGTTTTCACCTGGGAGTGGAGGAAGTGCCCACCAAAGTAGCAGAGACTTGCTATGGTCTCCAAAGGATGAGCACAGTAAAAACAGTGTGAGGTAGCAGCAATTGGGAGGAGCTGAGTGCAAGTCTGCAGGAGCTGGAGGATAGTTGCAGAGCCCCTCTTCTTCTGAGAGCCTCTCCATTAACTGGACCAAAGCATGGAGGAGAAGGATGAGGGATAGAGAAAGGATTGGTGGTGGTGTTGACTTTGGACCACGCTTAAGGAAGAAATATTCATTTCAGAAACATTTGAGGCATCTGCTAAACACACATAGGGAGGCTGGCCACATAGTTAGAATGCAAGTCTAGGTTTAGCATGCTAGTCTTTGAGAGGCATCAGGATAAAGAACACCAGTTAATGCCCCAGAGGTAGACCAGACAGACAGAGAATAACTAAAGAGCAGAAGGGCTCAAAAAATAGTTTTTTTCTCATCTCAACGACCTTTTTCTTCTGGACCTCTGGAGATGGTTACTTTCCTTTAATAGAAAAACAAAGAAGGGAGAGAAAGCGGAGCATTAAGGAAATCATGTAGAATTTTAGTACTTTGTACTATTGGGGAAATAGGTTATTACTAATCTATACAGTATATAAAATCTAAAAATCTATACCACCACCAAAGATATGAGCTCTTGGATCATCTCAGCTTCCTGTCAAGCAACTTATTATAGACAAAGTTTTGCAGAGGGGACCCAAGAATATGTTTTAACCAACTCCAGATCACTGCCTGCCACTTCACTCTGCTTATGCTGCTAGGGGTTACTGGTCCCAACACAGAATAGAATCACTGGAAATGGGCTGGGTTTATGGCTCAATGGTAGAGCATTTGCCTAGTACATGTGAGGCACTGGGTTGATCCTTAGCACTGCATGAAAATAAATAAAAGTACTGTGTCCATCTACAACTAAAAATATGTTTTAAAAAGAAGAATCACTGGGGATTTAAAGAACAAATATGTCCAGGCCCAGTGGCCTCAATCTCTGCAGGAAATGCTTGAGCAGGCGTATTTTGTGAAGACTCTCCCAGGAGATTCTGATGTACAGGCTTGGTTGAGAAGCAATGAATTCTAGTCCCTCTACAAGATGTCAAGGGATACCACCCCCAGCCCCCACTTTGTTCCTATCTTTATTCTTCCTTAAAAGTTCCAATCTGAAATAAGAGCCCTTGAGGCTGCTCACCTGCCATTTTTGTTTGTGTAGGTTGCTAAATAGCCATGATCCTGCCAGGTGTGCACCGATTCTGCCATCCCCTGCTCCTGGAAAATGGACTGGAGGCCTTTTAAAATGGTCTCACCATCAGCTGTAAGACAAAGGAAAGAAAATGGTAAGAAAGAAACATTCAGAAGAAAAGCTAATGATACCTGGTTTGATGACTGAACCTGACAAGAAAGCTGAACAGTCAGGCATGGTAGCACACACCTGTAATCTCAGCTACTTAGGATACAAGGCAGAAGGACTGCAAGTTGGAGGCCAGCCTCAGTAATTTAGTGAGGCCTAAACAACTTGGAAGACCCTGTCTCAAAAGGAAAAATTTAAAATGGGCTGGGAATGTAGCTCAGTGGTTAAGCACCTCTGGGTTCAATCCTTAGTACCAAAAAAATAAAACAAAATAATAAAAAGGGTATGGGGCTGGGGTTGTAGCTCAGTGGTAGAGTGCTTGCCTAGCAGATGTGAGGCACTGGGTTATATTCTCAACACCACGTAAAAAATAAATAAATAAAATAAAGGTTAAAAAAAAGGGTTGAGGATATAGTTCAGTGTGTAAGGCCCTAGATTCAAATCTCAGTACCACAAAAAAGAAAGAGAGATAGTGAAAAGAAAGAAAAGAGAATTGTCAGCATCTCTTAATCTCTGTGTTAAGAGCTAGAAATGTTCTCCACCCTGTGAGGAAAGGCTACACGGCATGCCTGGTTACCTAAGATCACAAAAGATGACCACCAAGAACTTTGTCAAGGATACAGAAAGATATTCAACATAACTAGAGATAGCATAACAAAATATTCAGCATAACCAGAAATCAAATATAGAGAGGAGATCCCACTTCAGGTTAAATTAATTAATAAGGAAACATAGCCAGAAAGAGGATGCCCATCTGCTATTGATAGGTATTATCAATGACTTGAAATTTTCCAATTTTATTTCCCAGGTGTTGCTTATATAACTGAAAAAAGAAATGAAACTGTTATGCTCACTAATATAGTTCTGAACAGTAAACACTGAACAATTCCATATGGGATAGACTGCTGGGTTGTAGGTATTCTCTCCCTCCAACCCTGCCCCATTTCACACCCTGTCCCCCAAAGTAGAGCTCTGTGCCAAAAGAGACAGAAGAGAAGACACAGGGGAAAAGGAAGGCAGGCGATATGAAGAGGAAGCAGAGATTGCAGTGATAAAGGCCACAGTCCAGGAAAACCAGGAGCCATAAGTAAGAAGATGCTAAAAAGGATTCTCCCCTAGGACCTTCAGGAAAACCATGGCCCTGCCCCACACCTTGATCTCCAATTTCTGGCCTCCAGAACTGAAAGAAAAAATTTCTGTTGTTTTAAGCCATTGAATTTACAGTACTTTGTTATAGCAGCTCTAAGCAAACTATATGTACTAAAAATTGTTTGTCTTTTTCTTTAAGACAGGGTCTCACTATATTGCCTGGACTGGCCTCAAATTCACATTCCTCTCATCTCAGCCTCCCAAGTAGCTGGGTTTACAGGAGTGCACCACCACACCCAGCTCAAAAATCTGTATTTTCAACTTTGTTCAACAAACAATAGCAAAAATAGTAGTGAAACCATAATTATTAAATCTTCTGAATTGCCAAAGATAGCAATTAGGATAGCAAAACCAAAAATCACAAACATTTAAAACAAAACTAGATGACAGAATATGCCTTCCCAAGCTCCCCAAAACAGGAGTGGGTAACCAGCTCACAACCCTGAGACCTGTGCAGCACCAGCAATTGTTTGACAGGAAGGAGAGAGAATGCAGAGGAACTTTACACACCCTGAGATCTAGGAGTTTCCTCCTCTCAGAACACAGTACCAAAGCCAGAACATAGCTAAAAACCATAGAGAGGAGCAGCCTGGGGTAGGTCCAGATAGTGTCAGGATGGTGGGCGACGAATGTCTTTATGAGAGACAGAAAAGGAGAAGTCACAGGAAGAAAGAGGAGCAAATGGTATAATAGTCAAAACAAACAAACTGAGGCCACTTTCAGGAAAAAGACCCCACACATCAGGAATAGACTGTCAGCACAGAACTCATATCTCCTACCCATCACAACTTAAGCATCTACACATGAGTGGTGGTCCAATGAATCATTGAATTCTCATTCATTTCTAGCAAAACTGTGCCTTTGGGAAACTCATTTGGCAGATAATAATCTAGCTCACTTAGCTCTTCTGAAATTGGTTTCAGGAAATTAAAAGGGAAGGTCTGAATTATATCTCCAGAATGCAGCATTTAAGACTGAATTCCACTTTCCTAAAATAATTAAATTAAATTAAAAAAAAACCTATTTCAAACTTGATAAAATGAAATAAACATGTTCATTTTGGTTTGTGTTATCACTGAAGCCAGGTAAGCCAACCTACCATACAGGTGTCTGAGCTGAGTATAGGGCAGCAAGAAAAAGTACACCTAGCCCAGTAGAATTACCCTAAATGTGAAAGCTACTGTGTAATTATGTGATCACTCCCCAGCTAAACCAGATGTTTTCTGTTTTGGAAGTGTATAAAACAAATCATCCCTCCTAGTAAATGGCCTCAAGACTGGGTTGTGTTGGCACATTACGAATTACCAAACAGAACACAAATCCCCCTACTGGTGAAAGGGAAAATCCAGGCAAGACCACCTCGAATGGGACTTAGCAGGCTGTGAAGTTGACAAGGAGCCTGTCCTAGGGGTAGACTTGGGGAGAGGATTCCATCCCTTAGGCTAGAGAAAGGGGATGCCTTTGATCCATGCAAAGGCCTTGAATGCTGGCCAAGCCCAGCATGGCAGCCATCTCCTTTTTCTCACTGGCACAATTACTAGAAAGGGACCATTGAGCGAGCTAAAGGAAGTCTTCCAGCCAGGTTTCAAACTGAAGACAAAGTGGTACAAAAGAAAGCTAATTAAAGAGTTACTTGTTTCTACACTTATACTCCTCATTCTCAGTTCAGTAAAAACTGGCCAAATCTCAATGTATTTCTGACAAAAAGTTCTTCATTCACCACATACCCAGTGCATTTTTGAAGCTGCCTGGTCCCTATTGGTGTCTTAGTGTTGCGTCCTCCAGGAAGGTGTCTGAAGGACACTATGGGGAAGTTGCCATTTTGTTCAATGTCTACCTCATTTCAGATTCAACTTCCTTCCAACTTGGGTCATGCCCTGTCAACCAGATGTTCCCAGACCTTGGGGAAGACTCTAAAAAGAGGTGTTATGGTTGAACCAACTCTCCAGTATGTCTTTTCCAGAATCAGGGCTTTAAAGTGAAAACTGAAAGCCAAAGGTATGAGTTCCACTAGGCTCGGAGTGGGTTTGCTTAATCATTTTAATCCTAGGCACTCAATGTTTTGTGCATAAATGAAAAGTTATTTCATTTTGATGAATTCATCATCTACATCCATATCACTCTATCTTTGCAGAATTTCTAGAATATCTAGATTAGTAATTTTCAATCCTACCTGTGTATCACCACAACCACCTGGGGGATTAAAATTCCAATATCACATACTAGAACCCCAGTCACACCAGTATTTTTTTTAATATTTATTCTTAAGTTTTAGGTGGACACAATATCTTATGCTACATTTATGTGGTGCTGAGGATCGAACCCAGTACCTTGTACATGATAGGCACACATTCTACCACTGAGCCACAACCCCAGCCCAACAGCAGTATTTTTCAAAGCTCCCTGGAAAATCCCAATATGTAGCCATGACTGAGAATAGCTAATCTAAACCATCCTATACAAAAAAAGAAAAAAAAAAAGCTAGGAGTGTACCTCCATGGTACAGTGAGTGCATGGTTAGCAAGTATGAAGCCTTGGGTTCAATACCTAGCACACGAAGAAGAAAAAAAAGAAAGAAAGAAACCCCCTACCATCTCCATACTAAATATACTCAAGTCACCAAAAAGTTATAGAAAATGTTCAACAAAAGCTCTGAAAAAGTCTGAACTCTTTATTAATCAAAGTCAAAGGTAACCCATGAAGTACCCCAGAAAGTGCTTCGTAATTATTGAAAACTTCAACTTTTGTTCAAGTTTGGTATGGAACATGGAACATGATCACACCAATCAGACTTGTTCTATCTGTGTTCCTCAATACTGGGGGTGAAACTGACAACATGATATAAAGGACTGACCTAAGACTTGGACAACTTCACCCATACCCACTAGATGTCAGTGATGCCCCCTTGTCAAAGGAAATTTAAAAAAAAAACAATACTCAAGTTGGTCTAAGGACAGAAGGGGGGCCAATTCAATCCCTTGAGAACTAGTAGGTACTCTATACATGATGAAAATGAGCCTACGATCAGAGTATACCCAAATTTGGGAACACAGGACAGAAAAGTCATAAATGTCTATGAATCAAAAGAAAATGTAAAAGCAGCTCCAAATGCTAAGAGATAAATATACCACTTTCAAGTAGACATGGTAATCTGAACTAGGCTAATAAAATGTTTGACAGAAGTTCTTAGAAATCTTGCTTCTATGGCCAGGCAAGAATGATGTATTATAACTAGTGCATCACACCAAGATTTTCAAAGTACTCTGAAACACAGTTGACCTCTCCCAGGGCAAAATGTATCCTTTGTCCACTGAACAAAGCAATGTCCCCATTTCCAGACCACTGCCTGCTTTGTTTGTTCAACAATAACTTAGAATAAATCAACTGGTCCAAATTAAATACACCCCTAACAAAAGAAGAGAAGGGATGACAGAAAGAGCGAGGGAGGGAAAAAAGTGTGAAGGCCTAAGTTTCATCTCCCTGCCTCATTTTATCCTGAGGATCTATTTATAGTTCACTCCTGGAGTACCTCAGTCCTCTGACTCTTTAGTATCAGCCCCAGATGGCTGAAGTCCAAATCTGTATATTACAGAGCTGCCTGCTCAAGGCTCTGTTCCAATCACAAGTCTGAAATCACAATCAGGCTCATGACTTCTCTGCTCCCTTCAATGGTTACAGGATGAGCCTTCATAACCTGAAAATCCAAAATTCAAAATGCTTTAAAAACATGAAACTTCCTGAGCACCAACAACATGATACCATAAGCTGAAAATTCCACACCTGACCCACCCCAAGAGATGGGTCAGTCAAAAT